TAGCTGGACTGGAAGAAGAGAAACTGGGATAGAACCCAGCGCCCCAACTGGGGCTAGAACCTGAGGTGCCAGTGCCACAGGCGGAGGATTAGCAAGCGAGCCACAGGCCCGGCCAATATGGAAATTTTGAGAAGGATACTTTGAAGCAATGCAAATATTATGTCTGTCTTTAAAGATTCTCCCAATAGGGGCTGGCACTGTGGTCACTGCTTACAACATCAACATCCCATATCAGAGCGATCGTTTAAGTTTCAGCTACACTGATTCAACCCCAACTCCCTGCTAACATGCCTAGGGAAAGCAGTGGATGATGGTCTGGGTCATGTGTCTCTGCCCTCCATGTGGGAGACCCGAATGTTTTTCCTCTCTCCTTCTGTAAACAATAAAAAAATCACCAAATAAATTTTACATTTTTAATAGGATTATTCCTACAGCAATGATTAAAATGGAATTCTAATGGTGACACTTTTATACTCCTCATTCCTTCAAAATTTTTCTTTTGAATGTTTTGTAGATTTGCCCATGGGGGCCTGTGTTGTGGCATAGTGGGTAAAGCCAATGTCTGTAACACCAGCATCCCATATGGGCACCACTTCCAAGTCCCAGCTGCTCCACTTCCAATCCAGCTCCCTGCTAATGTGCCTGGGAAAGCAATGGAAGATGACCCAAGTGCTTGTACCCCTGTAGCCCTGTGGGAAACTTGGAAGAAACTCCTGGCTCCTGGCTTCAACCTAACATAGCCCTAACTGTTGTGGCTATTTGGAAAGTGAACCAGCAGATGGAAGATCACCTTCTCTCTGCTTCTTTCTCTCTCTGCTTCTCTCTCTCTCTCTCTCTCTCTCTATCTCTATCTCTATCTCTATCTCTCTCACACACACACACACACACACTCACACACACACTCACATACACACTTCAATGCAGTTTTGTTATGCTATTAACTAAGAAAAGTGGGTAATCTTCACTATTTTTTAAAGTAAAAGAAGTGAGAATCAGTCAAATTGGGACCGCAATGTGGGTACTTGATGATCTGATGGCAATCAGCTAGGAACATCGTTGTGGTGAAGGATCTTGGTGGAGCTTTTCTAGGCACTTTTCTACCTAAGCTCTGACTAGTAATCTCAAACATTCTCATAATAAGAAGGTGTTATTGGGGCTGGTGCCATGGTTCACTTGGTTAATCCTTTGCCTGCCACAGCGGCATCCCATATGGGCGCCAGGTTCTAGTCATGGTTGCTCCTCTTCCAGTCCAGCTCTCTGCTGTAGCCCAGGAAGGCAGTGGAGGATGGCCCAAGTGCTTGGGCCCCTGTACCCGTATAGTAGACCAGGAAAAAGCACCTGGCTTCTGGCTTCGGATTGGCACAGCGCCAGCCGTTGTGGCCATTTGGGGAGTGAAGCAACGGAAGGAAGACCTTTCTTTCTGTCTCTCTCTCTCACTATCTATAACTCTACCTGTCAAATAAAAATAAAATAAAATAAATAAATAAAGTGTTATTATTCTTTGGCTCTCCAGAAAGTCAACAACAAAATGTGTTGAACATCCCAAAAAACTAATGCCATGAGAGCTTTGCTACTGATTGCCTGCTTTTGTTTTAACTAGATAACTTCCTATTCTTCATAAGCATCATTTTGATCAGGCTTGTGTTTAAGTCATACTAATAAAGCCATGTTTCAACTCCTGTTAAAATTCTTCAAAGAAATGATTCAGGATCTTGATCCACTTGTTTCAAATTTCCATTCAAAGTTCTCCTGAATGGAGCTGATCTGGGTACAATAATTCTGTACCCCTCAAGCAGAAAGTTTGCTCCAATATCTTTCAGTCAGAACTGTGTAAGCTAAACCAACTGACGTTATCTATGGTGTTGGGTATCCATGCATCACCAGTTCTCCCCATTTAGGGTACCAACAAGAGTAATTTCTTCTTCATAAATGGAGGTAAATGGTGTGCCTCTGTTGGCTCCATCTTCAACATCATCTCATCTCTTCTTTTTTTTTTTTTTTTTTTTTTTTGACAGGCAGAGTGGACAGTGAGAGAGAGAGACAGAGAGAGAAAGGTCTTCCTTTTTGCCGTTGGTTCACCCTCCAATGGCCGCCGCTGCAGCCGGCGCACCGCGCTGATCCTGGCAGGAGCCAGGAGCCAGGTGCTTTTCCTGGTCTCCCATGGGGTGCAGGGCCCAAGCACCTGGGCCATCCTCCACTGCACTCCCTGGCCATAGCAGAGAGCTGGCCTGGAAGAGGGGCAACCGGGACAGAATCCGGCGCCCCAACCGGGACTCGAACCCGGTGTGCCGGCGCCGCAAGGTGGAGGATTAGCCTATTGAGCCACGGCGCCGGCTCCTCATCTCTTCTTACAATGAGCTTTCCCTTTTATAAGTTGCCTAAATCTTTAGAGAATTATCCCCATAAATTTTCTTAAAGCATCAATGATTTCCCCAAAGTCCCACCCAAGACTACAATAAACTGGATGTTTGTTCTTGCTTCAGTTTTTGTTGAATTAATATTGCTTTGATACAGGCTGTTTTCAAACTGATAGCTTATTCTTCCAAGTACTTCAAACTAGAACCTCTTCAGACATAACTAGGTAGTATGAACTTATTTATTTAAGTGTAAAAAATCTGCAATCCTTAGATAGTTTTCATAATATACATTTTCCACAAACTTCTGGAAGAACCCCTTTTGTCCTCCCTGAAATTCCTAGAATCAATCATTTCTTCAGAAAGTCCTTATTCCTTTCACTTGGAAAATGTATTTAGAAAACAAGATCTGTACTCAGGATGTCCTTATTGCTAATGGAATGTTGTGGCTTCTAGTCCCTTTCAGCCAACATAGCTAGGAAATATGAGGGTACTTCAAAAACATATAGAAAATTTGAAATAAAAGTCAAATCTATTGTACTTCAAAATAATTCTGAATTATTTTTCATAACACCCTATTTTCCATGAAGCATTTGAATACACACTCATTTATATATGTATACACATCTACCTATGTTAACCTCTCTGTACATATATTAAAATAAACATGAATTCACACAGATCGCAGAGGGATCACTGCAGCCTTCACCTCTTGCATATTTTCAATTTCTTTCCCTGACAGTAAGTAACCTTGTTCTTATTAAATACAATTTATTTACATACTAAAATCTAGTCTATATACTAAATATTGCTAGAATTGTTAACCTATGAGAAACAAATTTACTAATCAGAATACAGTGTTGATATGCAGAGATTTTTTTTCTTTTTAGTGTTCAGTCAAAACACTGTTTTTCAAAACTACTTACATCAGCACATTTTGGTGTGTGAAAGAGAGAGACAGACACAGAATACAGACACAGAGAGATATTATGGCATTTGTAATACACTTATATTCATTTGTCACATTTTGCATTCCATCCTGAGACACCCCCTCCCCAACATTCTGGATGACTTGCTTTTAATTCTGCATAAAGTTAATTCTTTGTGGTATGGGGTATTGATTTTAATAACCTCATAAAGCTATACAACAACTCTACATGTCTATACAGAACAGTTCCATATCAAAAACATCCCACTGTGATGCCCCCTAGTTTCAGATTATCTTACAAATGCATGTAGCCTTTGGTTCTGGCTTTGTCCACTAAGTAAAATGCATGTAAGATTCTGCGATGTTTTTGCATGAATCAATAGTTTGACCCCTTGTGTATGCATATATGCATATACATATATATATTTCATAATCTTTGTAGCAGATATTGTTGCACCTTGTGCCACATTTCCTTAGTTCATCATGTTCAGTGCTGCACATTTACATCCAAAGGATGTTCTGTAGGTATCTCTAGTTTTCTACTTCAGATTTTTAGTGGTGCCAGATAAAAGCTATTTATTAGACATGCTGATACAGCACAGAAGCACTAAGAAGTTAACACTATCAGGGGCATCATTCAGTCAACAGGGATGACAGTCAATAGATAAATACCCAGCCTATCAGATACTTAGAGGAATAACTTTGAGAAGCATTCAACATGGTTCTTCGCAGGTCCCCAATGAGTCTAAGTCCCAATTTCCCAGAGTGGTAGCCAGTTTAATAATGGACTTAAATTTGGTTTCCAACTGTGTTTGAAATCTCCATTCTCACTTTTGCCTCCCAGTATCATCTCCCATATAAACCACCTCACCCAAAACTTTGTGACAGGCTTTTATATCCTCTGAAACACTGTCAACTCAGTTATCCCCATGATTTATTCCCTTCCATTTCAAGCACTCACTCACTGCTACTTCTCAGTGAAGTCTTCTTCTATCACTCTATTTTAAATAATAAACCTTATCTTCTTTCCTTCCTTTGTTTACTTAATGGCACTTATCACCATGTAACTAATTTGTATATTTTTTTAAATTTCAGTTTGAATACAAGCTTTGCAAATGCAGCGATTTTAATCTAATTTGTTCATTGTGTCTCCTACACTTAAAAAATTCCTTGGCATATAGTAGGCACTCAATATATAATAAACAAATTAATTTTTCAAGAACGTTGATCCTGTTCCATATAAGCACATTAAAAAATTAAGTAATCTTAAAAACTGAATGGTAAATGAATACCAATCTCAGATTTCAAAATGAGACCAGGTAGCTCTGAATTATAGATGTTATATAGAACATTCCCATATTTAGCAATAATTTTGACTGGATATTCTGAATCACCTGAAAATTTGAATAATTACATGACACTATGAAAAATAAAAGACCATAGTATTTGCTGTAAGGTGGAAAATTGGTATGAAGTCAAAATTTTTTCTTCTTAATAATTCTTATGAAACTAAATATAATAATCATATTACATGAATGTGATTAACCTACGTAATTATTCTAAACAAAATACCACATATACAACAGAGATGAATATAATCTAAGAAAGCTTTTTTTATATTTGAGTCTAATTTTCATTTTTTTCCCTAAGTCTTCAGTATAATAAAAGAAAAATTTTTCTTGCAGATACAAGAACTGTGTTCATCATATTTTTATTACCTGGACACTGGATAAAGGACCATTCATAGTTCTTTTCTTTGGGACAAAGATTAGTGTCAAGAACCATCTCATTGGTGTGCATCCCAACAAACTTCATTGGTCCTCGTGAAGATCCTTCAATGCAGTGGCCTCTTCCCGTATTACTAGGATCATTGCACCAGCCACATCCAGGCTGTTCCAAACACTGCCCACATGTTCTCAATCCAGAACAATTTTGAGCTACATGAAAAAAAAAATCAATAAATAGATTATGTGACTGTATAATTATAGGCCAAAAAAAAAACCCAATCATTTTAAAAGACAGCAAAATGTCACCTATTGGTAAAGTAAACATTTCTGTAATAATATCTTAGAAAGAACAATTTTTAAAGCAAATAAAACATACATTAGGAACAAAACTTAGATAAATGAACTAACATGGAAATGAAAAAAGATATGGTAACATCGACATGAGAAAAATGAACTCAGTACTCAAAAAAATTCCTGAGAACTTTGCCAGTTCTAGGACTTTTGGAGAACTGGCCCTACAGACCACTTCTACCACTGTCTGTGGCGTACAGCCATTTAGCCATCCTCCTTCTGCATTCTGATGGTGGGCATCCAGTGTAAGTGATGCAAACCCCTTCCCTGAGACCACTGAGCTTCATCTGGACTACTGTTCAAGGAAAACACTCTTCCTTATGTTCCAAGATACTAGTAGCTGGCTATTATGTGATAAGTAAACTAAATCGTACCCACATAGCCAAGCTGAGTGGGAACACAGTCAAGCAAGCAACAGTACATACTCTTTAACTTTCAAGAGTGCAGAGTATTATGCAAAACTCCTTTGTTGGGGTTATTTTTAAAAAAAAAAATGACATATGAGACTAGACAAAGTCTATAAATCCTATGTTGTTACCAAGGATGAACAAATATTAATCTGATACAATGTTCGTCGTTGTTACTTTGTGATATTCACAATTTTTAACTCACATTCAGAGTATTATGTATTATATGTTGGCCTGAGATGTTTGTAATTACTTTTACTATACTAGAAATAGTACTTTATGTCTTCAGAATTGTTTCTCCAGAGAAGGTAACAATAGACATACAAGGCACCATCAATGATATCTTTTCCACATATGAAAAAAATTCCAGAGAGGGGAAAATCGCAGATTTCGGCGCTGTTGCAGTGTGAATAACTTAGCTGCTACTCATTATTTTAATACTAACAGAAAAAATATTTTCCGCAGATTACCAAAAACAAGAATAATGTAAATTTTTGGTAGACATCAGGAATTCAATATAGTGGGCTATGCAGAAACAACAGAATACTTAATAAAAGAATCTATCAACCATAATATTTATTGCTATAAATTATTTTATTAGATACAAGAAAGCAAAAAGTATCACACCCAATGTTTCCTTAACAAAAAAACAAAAAAGGAAGACGACTCTTTGAGTCATGGAATGCAAGTTGCTAATTTTAACTCTGTAGACAAAAAATATATTGACATGAAGTATCAACCCTTGGAAGTTTACATTTTCAAGAATACACAGTGGTAAATGACAGCTTAGCTAAAAAGATGCCTATTGAGTGGGCATTTGGTACAGTAGTTAAGATGCTGCTTGGAATGCCCATATCCCATATCAGAGAGACAAGAGCAAGTCCAGCTTCTTCTGTGTATGACCCAGATTCCTAATGATGTACATCCTGGATGAAGCAGATGAGGTTCAAATACTTGGGTCCCTGCCGAGCACACTGGAGACCAGGAATGAGATGCAAGCCACTGGCTTCAGTCAGGCCCAGCCCCCAACTATTGCAGGCATTTAGGGGAGTAAGCCAGTAGATAGAAGATCTCTGTCCCTCTGTCTCTTTCTCTATCTCTCCCCCTTTTAAATAAAATGAAAATAAATATTTTAAATATTAATTTATTTATTTGAAAGGAAGAGTTACAGAGGCAGAGGCATAGAGAGAGAGAGGGAGGTCTTCCATCCGCTGGTTCACTCCCCAGTTGCCACAACATCTGGAGCTGTGCCAATCTGAAGCCAAGAGCCAGGAGCTTTCTCTGGGTCTCTCATGCAGGTGCAGGGGTCCAAGGACTTGTGCCACCTTCTACTGCTTTCCCAGGCCATAGCAGAAAATGGGATTGGAAGTGGAGCAGCCAGGACTCAAACGGATGTCCATATGGGATGCTGGCACTGCAGGCAGCGGCTTTATCCCCTATGTCACAGTGTCAGCCCAGAAAATAAATATTTTTAAAAAAATAAAACTCAAAAGGTCTGTGGACAACTTAATATTTCATATATTACTATTTGTTTTCTTGGTTTCAAATTTCTCTCTTGTATTTGTGATTATAACTAGCCTACATTATTGTTGACTTGATTATTCTAACTGTCCTCAAACTATACTGAGTTGCTATGCAATCAATGTGAAATATCAAATTTCATATTATAAGTAAATCTTTACTGGGAATCACCCAGGATAAATATAGTTTTCTATTATACGTACGGTCTTTGGGTATTTTCTAGGAAAAGAGATGTTATTTTAGAACTATTTTTAAAGGAAAGACAATCATTAAAATGTCTTTAAGATGCATTAGAAATTAAATCTGAACTATTCCAAGATATTCCTGTTAATATTGCTCAAAACAGCTTGAGAAATCTAAGGTTAAAGATTCTGGGTTTCTTGCAGTGACTGGATGACAAACCATTAATCTTCTAGTTCTATATCTAAAAAGATGTTAGGCTTTAATAATTTTACAAAATAGCATTGTGTTCAGAACAACAATGTATTCTCTTGGATTTAATTTTAGATATAAAACTATTCAGTAAGATAATGTTGGCTTTGTTTTTGCTCTATAGTAATAAGCAAGATGCACTAATGAAAAATTAACAGAAAATTCATTCTTAGTACTTAATGGTGACTCAAAAACTGACAGATTCATATTTTTGTCTTTTTCTTTAAAAAAAAAAAAGCAGTATTACAGAAAAGCTTATGAAGTCACGGTATTGTTCCTAAAGTTATGGGTGGGAGAGAGACTATTTCTGAACTACAATTATTAATCTTCATATTTACTTTTCATTTATTGAACTTCAATTTGTAAAATATTCAATATAGTTGTTTAAATGCATAATAATTTGAAAAAATCTGTAATAAAGTATCATGAAATTTAAAAAATGATTACCTTCCTTAATTGTCAAGAATAGTGTTTAAATTGAGCATGTACATACACCTAAAGAAATGGTAAAAGAAATACAAATCTGTGAGAAACTATATACTCAAGCTTCTTTTACTATATCAATTTAATTATATTTTCACTTGATCTTTAGTATATTATGAATTAAATTCTTTATCATTGCTAAAGGTCTTCAAACTCACTGCCACCAACAGAATAACTACTTCAAATATATGATTTATTAATAAAGCCAGTTATTAACAAATATTTCTTAGAAGCCATTAGCTAAAAATTATCTTAAAATACATATCTTCTCTTAAATTTGTAAATTTTAAACATTGGTTCTACAACATTACAACTGAAAAATACTAAGGAATATTACAATATCATATTAGTTTCTCATTTCAAAGAAAAGTTCCCCTTAATTTTCATTTACCATAAGCCTTAAATGATCGAGACAACTTTCTAAAGCAACAAAAAAAATTTTTTCAGCCCATTTCTAAGTTTCATTTATAGGGGCTGGAATTATGGTGTAGGGGGTTAAACTGCCGCCTGCAGGGCCAGCATCTCATATGGGTGCCAGTTCGAGTCTCAGGCTGCTCAACTTCCATCCAACTGCAGGTGGAATCTCTACTCTGTAATGCAACATTGCTTTGTCTCAATATTTCAAGCAATGGTAGCGCCCAATATGGAACTAATATTGGTTTGCCTATATAACCAGGAGAGGGAGACATTCTCCCTGTCAGTATGGAAGGCCTGGAAAATCCAATGGGTCTCTACTTGCTTTGGTTTATTGAGTGAGGGATCACATTGCCTGGGGACTATTGGATCCCAGGAGCAAGAAGGACACTGACTGCCTTAAAACAGTAGATTCATCACCAAAAAGGATCTTAGAGTTATGAAGTTGCTTATTTCTAACTACAATAGCCTGCCTCTAGAAGAAAATCAGGAAAGTTTGGGGAGAGGAGAGAAAGAGGAATGGATGGGCGGACAAGGTGAGCTGAAGCTGGGTTAGTTGTCTGTAGACACACAGTCAGGTAGTCAGCGGCTGTTCTTTCGAAGAGAATGTAAGAAAGCTAATGGCCAGTAAGTCCTGAAGATAGTCAGGAAAGTTAGACGAACAAGCTGCATTAAGGCCCACACTCCCAGGGAACTTCCAGGAGGCTTTTTCTCAGTAGGAGAGAGGAACAGAAGTAAGCCCCTAGAAAGGACCTGTAAGAGTCGCAAAGATGAAAGCAGAAGATAACTTAAACCTCAGCTTAGGAGGCAGATATTAGAATTAGGATAAAGATCGTCCCAGAGAGGATTCCTTTAAGGAACCTGAAACTGCTCCTTCCGCTAGCCCACTGAATAACTCTCAACCACAACACAAACATGAGTTTCAGGACACTGAATTCCAAGTAGCTGATATTTTGTCTCTTTTGACCGAACTACAACTTAGTTATTTTGAGGAATGGCACAAACACACCACAATATTAAATGAATTCATTTAGTTCAAACCATGCTAACTGCAGGTTAAAGAATTGGGAGGGAAAAAAGATTTTAAGTAAGGACTCCTGGTCCCTTTGTCTTGCTGAGCTTTTGTGATACTCAGGAGTTGAGAAATGGGGAACTGAAGAACAACAAAACACTCCTCCCATTTTATTTGTGTCTATTAGCAAGTTTTGCTTTGTACAAAACAAAGGGTCTTGGATAGATACAAGTGGACATTAACTGCATCTCAGATGATTCTGAAGCTAACTAGGCTGGTAAAACAGTAAACTCTTGGGATCCTGCAAGCCTTATTATGCAAGAAATGTCTAGTTCAGTCCCCAATGAGTGGAACATAAATGAAAGGATTTTACACTGAAAAGCCAGTGGTAGGAGCAGCAAGAGTAAATAACTCTACTTTCTTGTTACAAATCTGAACAAATTAATTCATGTCCAGGGCAAAAGACATATTTTTATGGCCTCAGTATCAGAGGGTAGATTGTAGAAGATAAATCACATTTTCTGCTAACAACAAGCTAGCTGAGACCAGCACCTTCTTATTCTCCCAAGCAGAAGCAGTACCACATGGTCTCAATCTCCTAAAGGTTAGCAAGTGCTATCAGTAGTATTACTCAATTCCCTTGGCAACATCATCCTCATATAAATTGTCTTTGCAAACAAGGCCACACTCACAACCACTTGGTATTTGGTACAAAAATTCAGTCAGATGGATTCTCATTCTAAAATCCTTCCAAAACATGAGAGCAGTAAGAAGCAGGATGTCCTCCTGAAATACAACTTACGACAAGTCCAGCACTGCCCTGTTAATGACTCTCCATGTGAGGTCAAGACCATGCATCCTGCACTGTAGCAAATACATCATGCTAATAAAATACTCTGTACCCTACCCCCCCAAAATGCTTACCTGATCTAATCATGAAAAACAATTAGAAATATCCAAATTTAGAAACCTGCAAAACACCTGTTGTAAATTCTTCAAAAATATCAAAGCCATGTGAAAAAAAAGTCGGGAATTTTACAGACGGAAGGACACTAAAGCAGCATGGTAAAGCAATATGTGATCCTTAGGGAGAGTACAGCTCTGCAGCGCTATGCTGCCTGCAACATTCTCTGAGTGTGCAGTACACAAATGTGGTAAATCATATACAGCAGATAAGTACTGGAATTCAAAATCATGATACAATATACATTAGAGGTTAAATGCACTAATCGGTTTCAAAACTAGCTATGGATGTATTTTTCTCATTTTCTGAAACCTCCTTGTCGCTCCCCCTCTTCGTGGAGGAACAACACAGGACCCTGCGCTGTTCTTTCGTCTGCTCGGCCCTCCCCGAGTTTGCTGCTGGTTCTTCCCGGGTTGGCTACTGTCCCTTCCACCTCCGTGGAAGGGCGGTTCCCCCTGCCACGTTCCCCACTTCCGCGGGGGAGCGGCACACCGCCAGCCGGCTCTCTCGGGGGCTGCACAGGTGTTATTCAGATAGATGTTCCCCTTAGATGTTCCTGGTGCATGTTGTCTCTCTCCTCCTTTATAGTCCTTTTCCACCAATCCCAACTCTGCTACCCACACGCCGAGTACGCTGCTCTCCTCCAATCAGGAGCAGGTCCTACAGTTTATTGGTTGAACTGGAGGCAGCTGTGTAGAAGCTGTTTCTCCCTTCTCAGCGCCATATTGTGGGAGAGCAGATGCATAGAATAAGTCTTAATTCCAGTAACTTAGTCTAGTCCGAGTTGCTCCCCACACTCCTCAAATGTTTAATTTCTCTTCTGATAACAGAAAAGTGATTTATGCTGCTATTAAATGAAAAAATCACTCTAGATAAATACTTACGAGAGCAGGTGGCAGTTTGCCACTCTAGACACTGTCCATATGGAAAAGAGATTATATAAGCATTAGAGTCGACACATCGCTTCGTACTGCTGCACCACATACATTCCATGCCATTACTTGTACAGTTGGAACATGATGTCCTTAGAGAGCATGGCTTCTTGCATGGTCTCGCATTTTGATTTGGACTAACTGGAATAAATCAACAGATATAATTATTTTATTTATAACTACATTTTAACACAAGTGTATGGGTTTTATTTGCTTTGCTATTTAGGGACTGTTTCAATTAAGTAAAGAATTCAATTATAATATAATGAAGTAAATGAAAACAAAGATGATAGGTCAATATACCTCAAATTTATTATTATATATTTGAAAACATAATTTCTTTACTTTGTAATATTCTAAAGAGGAAAATATAATTTAAAAACTTATAAATAGCAAGAAATCAGTAACCTAGTTTTTCTAGTAGCTGATAGTGTGTACACTATTTACTTTCCCAGCCACATTTTTTTCCATAAACATTCCACACCTTATTAAAGCAAATGTCTATAAGTGAAAATGTCTCTCATATAAACAAATAATAAAAATACAACTTACTATAATAACTCCATGTAATATAGACTATTTATTACACCCATTACAGTTTTTCCCTGACCATTTAGGGGGTAAAAAAAAAGAAAGAAAATACAAATGTTGGTAAGGATGGAGAGAAACTGAGACCTCTGTACATTACTGATGGAAATGCAAAATGATACAGCCTTTGTGGGAAACAATATGGCGATTCACCAAAAAATAAACATAATGATCTAGCAATCTCAGTTCTATCAATATATTCCAAAGAAATGAAAGCAAGAATTCAAACAGATATTTGTATATCCATATTTATAGTGGCACAATTAATAATCAAAAGGTGGAAGCATCCTAAGTGTCCATCAATAAACAAATGGTGATATATACATATAATGGAATATTATTCAACATTAAATAAGAACACATTCCAATACATACTACAACATGCGTGAACCTTCAAGACATTACAATTATACAGCATAAGCTAGTAACAAAAGGACATACATTGTGTGATGAAATTCATTTGAGGTACTTAGTGTAGTCAATTTCATCGAGACAAAAAGTAGAATGGTGTGGGCTGGCATTGTGGTGTAATGCGTAAATTTGCCTCCTGAGAAGCCAGCATCCTATATGGGCACCAGTTTGAGTCCCAGCTACCCCACTTCTGATTCAGCTCCCTGCTAATGTGCCTGGGAAAGCAGAGGGGAATGGCCCAAGTGCCTGCACCCCCACACCTCTGTGGGAGACCAAGATGAAACTCCTGGCTCCTGGTTTTGGATCGGGCACAGCTCTGGCCACTGTGGCCATTTGAAAGGTGAACCCGTGGATGAAGACCTCTCTCTCTTTCTCTCTGTTTCTCCCTCTCTCTCTAACTCTGCCTTTCAAACAATAAATAAATCTTTTTTAAAAAGACATGGTTAAAAATAAAATTTATATAAATATCAAGGAATTAACATCACAAAAAGATGGTGTAAATTACTCCATACTATACCCTGAAAGGAGGTCACAGAAAACAGGGATTAAAACAGATTTTCAAAGAAATGGCTACTGACAAGACTACTTACCGACAGGCTTTTCACAAACAAGTCCATCTGCCATAGATGTACAAGGATTAGCTTTTAAACCTGCCACTGCAGCCCTTTCAAGATATGCACAGAATCCAGAATCATTTGGTTCACCAGGAAGCCACTGTAGTGTTGTGTTTGTAAAAGGAGACATGTCTTCCCATCCCCAGTAGGATATATTAATCTTGCGCAAGCCTACCCAAGGTGATACTTTCTGTAAGCAATAGGAAAAAGAAGTTACATATAAAAATACTGCACCATATATCCCCTAGCAAAGAGTTCATTAGCATTAAAAATTACACTTGAAAGTACACAGAAGTGTCTTTATAGTTACTTTTTGTACCAACGATAACGAACAATTCCAGCATACTTTAGAGAATTCTACAGAACAGTATTTTTAAAGCCCAGGTTTTGTGTATAGCAATACGACTGGAATCATTAGCCCTATGAACCTCTACTATAAAAGGTAGATATAAAGACCTGGCATTAACATCTGCCTGTCTCCTAGCTCAGAACTCCTCTGCTGCATTTGGACTTTTGTAAAAGTTTAAATAAGTAATATTTAATAAATTAGTAAAGTATTCAAGAATATTGATGAAATATGATTGTTGTAACCAAATTTTAAGAGGTTGACATTGACTATTCTTAAAGTTCTCATTAGTATTTTTATTTTTTTTTTTTGGCCAGGCAGAGGGAGAGGGAGAGGGAGAGGGAGAGGGAGAGGGAGAGGGAGAGGGAGAGAGGGAGAGAGGGAGAGAGGGAGAGAGGGAGAGAGGGAGAGAGGGAGAGAGAGAGAGAGAGAGAGAGAAAGGTCTTCCTTTTGTTGGTTCACTCCCCTAATGGCCACCATGGCCGGCGCTGAGCCGATCCAAAGCCAGGAGCTGGGTACTTCCTCCTGGTCTTCCATGCAGGTGCAGGGACCCATCCTCCACTGCCTTCCTGGCCCACAGCAGAGAGCTGGACTGGAAGAGGAGCAACTGGGACAGAATCCGGCACCCCAACAGGGACTAGAACCCGGGGTGCCAGCACTGCAGCAGAGGATTAGCCAAGTGAGCCATGGTGCCAGCCTCTCATTAGTATTTTAAAATTAGCTTTAAATCAAAATCTATTTTATATTTATGTACCTTAAACATTATTTCATTTTAAAATGCTACTCTTGATAGTAGTCATGATTGAAAACTACATGTGGCAAGCTAAAGTCAGCACTGTCAGCAGATTTTTGTTGTTACTGTTACATTATTTTCTTGCATCTATGGAATAGTTGTAATAAAAAAATATTTAAATAGCTATTTTTGATGTCATTAAAAAATCATACTCTGGCCTTCTTTTCCTCCCCTTACCATTGTTACCCAGATCTTTTAGAATTCTATCCCATGTCCAGAAAATACTAATTATAAAGATTGCTGATCAAGCAAAGTTTTGCATCAAAATGTCACCTCATTGCTCTGCCAAAGACTGACTCTTCTGGTTGTTAACTCTTCTCTGCAAAGCATTTCCCAACCTCCTTTCTGAAAGAAGACCCAAGGCCGAGTGGCCTATGCCTTCTGTTTCCTACTGATGAATAGACTACTTGGAGAAAAGGGGAGTTTAAATGTGAACAGAACGTTTAGGATGGCAAGGTTTGATAGGCATTTTTTTCTCCTGGCTTTGGATTGGTTCAGCCCCGGCCATTGAAGCCACTTGGGGAGTGAACGAGCGGATGGAAGACCTTTCTCTGTCTCTCCTTATCACTGTCTGTAGTTCTGCTTCTCAAGTAAATAAAGTCTTAAAAAAAATCTCTTCCACCTACTTGTTCACTCCCCAAATGGTTCCAACAGTCAAGGCTGGGCCAGGCCAAGGCCAGGAGCCAGGAGCCAGGAGCCAGGAACTCCATCCAGGTCCCCCGTATGAGTAGCAAGTGTCCAAGTATGTGGGCCATCTTTTTCTGCCTTCCCAGGCACATTAGCAGTGAGATGGATTGGAAACAGAACATCTGGGACTCAAGCTGGTGCTCTGATATGGGATCTGCATTGCAGGTGGTAGCTTAAGCTGTGCCTCAATGCTGGCCCCAATAGACAGGTGTTTTTTTTTTTAACTTTTATTTAATGAATATAAATTTCCAAAGTACAGCTTATAGATTACAATGGCTCCCCCCCACATAACTTTCCTCCCACCTGCAACCCTCCCCCTTTCCTGCTCCCTCTTCCCTTCCATTCACATCAAGATTCATTTTCAATTCTCTTTATATACAGAAGATCAGTTTAGCATATATTAAGTAAAGATTTCAACAGTTTACACCCACTCAGAGTGAAAAATACTGTTTGAGTACTAGTTATAGCATTAAATCACAATGTACAGCACATTAAGGACAGAGATCCTACATGAGGAGTAAGTACACAGTAACTCCTGTTGTTGACTTAACAATTTGACACTCTTGTTTATGGCATCAGTAATCACCCTAGGCTCTTGTCATGAGTTGCCAAGGCTATGGAAGCCTTTTGAGTTCACCGACTCTGATCATATTTAGACAAGGTTGTAGTCAAAGTGGAAATTCTCTCCTCCCTTCAGAGAAAGGTACCTCCTTCTTTGATGACCTGTTCTTTCCACTGGGATCTCACTCGCGGAGATCTTTCATTTAGGTTTTGTTTTGTTTTGTTTTGTTTTTTTGCCACAGCGTCTTGGCTTTCCATGCCTAAAATACTCTCATGGGCTTTTCAGCCAGATCCGCATGCCTTAAGGGCTGATTCTCAGGCCAGAGTGCTGTTTAGGACATCCGCCATTCTATAAGTCTGCTATGTATCTCGCTTCCCATGTTGGATCGTTCTCTCCCTTTTTTATTCTATCGGTTAGTATTTGCAGACACTAGTCTTGTACCCACCCGCCACAATCCTGCCCCGATGGGCATTTTCAATACTGTATTTAAGAAAAAAAAATAGCACAGCTAGGAGTTTCTGACACTGTCTCATGTTTTATGTGGTCTGTCCATAAAATTCCCTTTTTTTTTTTTTTTTTGGTTTATAAGAAGGTTTATCTAACAGAAAAAAAAAAGTGCTGTAAATATTTATAACACATTTTTTAAGCCAGGCCAAAAAAGGAGAAAGAGATTTTTGGGAACAAGTTAACATTTAAAGTGGTTTTATATAAAATATCAATTGTCTTGTTTTTTGATAAGCATCAGTACCAGCTTTCATTTGTAACAGTTTGTGGCATTGGAAGAAAAGTATTCTGTGACCACTGAATTGAATTGTTACATATGCAAAGAGATGATAAAATATTAAAAAACATTTTCTAAGTGAAAAAAATAAAATAAAATGTTACTCTTAGAATATCTCCCAAGATAATGATATATTCTTGATCTGAGTTATCTTTACAAAATCTATTAGATTATAAACACTTCTAATTTAATATATGACCATATATTCATTATCTAAGATACTAAGCTACAAATATTTTTTACAATGTGAATTGATTTCAAAAATTTTACAACTTTTTTTTTTACATTATGGATAGGCAGGTAAAGAAAAATATGTCTCTGGACTGGCGCTGTGGTATAGTGAGTAAAGCCGCCATCTGCAATGCTAGCATCCCATATGGGCACTGATTCAAGTCCTGGCTACTCCTTTTCCCATCTATCTGGCTCCCTGCAAATGAGCCTGGGAAAGCACTGGAGGATGGCTCAAGTCCTTGGGCATCTGCATCCATCTGGGGGACCCAGAAGGAACTCCTGGCTCCTGGCTTCCGCTCAGCCCAGTTCTGGCTGTTGTAGCCATTTGGGGAGTGAACCAGCAGATGGAAAATTTCTCATCACCACTCCCTCTAAGTCTTTCAAATAAGTAAATAAATCTTTTTTAAAAAAAGAAAAATGTGTCTCTCCATTTTAGCCTTTAACAACATATGAATAAGGTATTTATACCAAAATTTATCCTAGTTATGTTGTACAAATCGTCCCAGAGAGGATAAATAGATGACCAAAGACCTAGAAATTTGTAAAATGTACAAATTCAATCAATTTCATATAGTAACTCTCAAGAAATATTCATGGATAAAATTAAACTATTTTACAAATTTCTGTTAAGATCATAAGTCCTATATTTCCTAGTGGAATACTACACACATAACAGATAATCAATAAATTTTAGTAACAAGTTCATTATAATAAAGATATTTATGTCTAACATTCAATAGAATGCCTAAGACTAAGATGGTAACTGATAAATAATGTCTCTAATTATAAAAATACACATGCTACTTAACATTGTGATCATCATATATTTCATAAATTATGAATATGAATTTTTGATAACAAAAAGCTACAACATTTTTACAGTTCTTGATAATAATAACAGTAGTCAATCCAACATAGATATTTCAGATTAATAATTATATTTCACATTACAGCAATACTGCCTATATTCCCAAACTATCTATAATAAAGACAAGTCATTTAAAATGAAATATTACTCCCTAACTCATCATGATAAGAATCAGAGAGGAAAAGAAGAGAAACAAAAAAAAAATGAAGCAGCTTACAGAACATTCAAAATAACTGTAACTCAGTAAATGAACTGGACAGGCAGTTGAAAATGAAAGATAAATTACTATGTTATGAAAATTTACTGCAGCACACCATAAATCATTGTAACATTTCATTACCCATTTCCGATAAGTAAATGACCATTTGACCCAAGATATCTCTTTAAAGTGCATGAATTTGTCGATCTTTATTTGCCAAAGAAGGGTTATCTTAAGTTTATACAACTGCAGTGACTCAGAATATTAGTCATTTTATTAAAGATATACTTAATGGAATGTCACCTTGCAGAAGTTCCCTTCCACCTTTGGAATCCTGCTAAAACTGAGCTTTGTGATAAAAATAAAATATTCTTCATTTACAGGATATGCCTTTCAGCAAACTAACAAGTGTAAGTTCTTCATAGTCCAAAATAATGTTAATCCAATATGTATGATTTATAATCGGCAATAAAAATGAACAACCAAAAATAGGATACTTGAAATATGCAATTTCTAAGATAGCACATTTCAAGGTTATCTTGTGAAAACTTAAATAATACAATTCTAAACAAAGAATAAAGCAATGCAGTTCTAATGCCAAATACTAGTACTTTCTAAAACTCACAAAGACTAGATTGGTCAATAAACTCTTCATAAGTGATGAGTATTCTATAAAATTAATTTTCACATATTGACTGGTAATTGTCCATTTTTATACTTAAAGAAATTAAGTTCCTAGCATCACAAAATATAAACATATTAATTCATGTTCCATATTATTAAAAATAAAACTTTACAAATATCCCTTCTTACAGTTTTCTAAAACATTATGAAAATCTATAGATATCTCCTAAATACTACCACATATATCTTATTCTCCAGTCATTAAGCTAATAGTTCTCAAATAAGACAAAAGGAAAAAATGCAGGTATTTTTATGAGCTCCTTAAATTATCTTCAAGTGCTGGCCAATTCTAATTCCTGTTATTATGCTTTGGGTATTCCTACAGGAAACTCTCCTAAGTCCACATTACTGGTAAGAGGTCTGATCTTAATCATAATTTATTTCCCTAGGTGTATATATCATTGCAATTATCACACTTCAGTTTAAATTTGCCTCTCTAAACTCTTTGAGAACCAGGATTGCTTTTGGTTCTGTATTCTCAGCAAACAATAAGTAGCTATGTACACTGAAGGTACACAATAAGTGTGTACCAAGTGAATAAATACTGGTCCATCTTCACAGAAAAAAATAGCTACAATTCACACAGAAAATGCTTTTACCAATAAACTGTTTGTATAAAGTTAATTAGTACAGTTTTACATTATCTTATTAGCCTCAGGCTAAAAAAAAAAGAGATAACCATTATAAGGAGAACATTCCAATGTGATATCATTTCAAAATATTTGAATATTTACAAAGTCAGGGTTGTTAATTAATATGCCAATATTATCCATGAGGCAAAGGGTGTTGGCCCTACAGATAGAAATGAAATTATAAATTAGGTTATTCATTATTGATACTTACAAGAAATAAATACAGTGATGCCACCATAAGAATTAGAGTAGGCATAACGGTAAACTCAATATCCATAAGAAAATGTCAATTGGCATGACCGGCATTGTGGCGTAGCAGGTACAGCCAAAGCAAGCAGGCATCCCATATTGGTTGCTGCTCTACTTTGATCCAGCTCCCTGCTAATTCGCCTGGGAAAGCAGCAGAAGACGGCTCAAGTCTTTGGACCCCTGCACCCATGTGGGAGACTCAGAAGAACCTCCTGGTTCCTAGCTTTGGTCTAACCCAGTCCTGGCCATTGCAGCTATTTGGGGAGAGAACCAGCAGATTGAAGACGGATCCATCTCTCTCCCTTTCTCTCTCCCTCTCCCTCTCTCTATTCTCTCCTTTCCTCTCCTCTCCTTCTTTCTCTCTCTCTAACTATGCCTTTCAAATAAATAAAGTAAATATTAAAAAAAAAAAAAATACTTCAATTGCTTACCATGAAAATATTCATCTGGAGCAGGTATTTTTCCACAATCAATGTTGACATTAATTATCCATCAAATAAATTAATTTAGTTACCTAAAAATTCATTCTCCAAATAAAGCTTCCTAGAAATAGTAGTAATAGCAGTCGTAGGAACAAAGATACAAAATAATAACCCATAAAACAGAAATAGGAAGCAGGTATTTAACTTAATGGTAAAGATACCCATGTCCCACATCAGAGTGTCTGGGTCTGATGGCCAGTTCTGGCTCCTGACTCCACCTTCCTGCCAGCGCAGACCCTGGGAGACAGTGGTGATAGCTCAACTATTAGAGTTTCTATCCCATGTACTAGCCATGGATTGTGTTCCAGCACCTGGACATCAGCCCTGGCCCAGTCCCAGCCACTGCAGGCATTTGAGGGGTAAACCAGTGAAATGGAGCTCTCTCTCTCCCTTTTGGTCCATATGTCTCCGTCTCTCTTTCACTCTCTCTCTCTAATTCACTACCTCTCTGCCTTTCAAATACATTTTTTAAAAAACGGAAATAATAATCATGGTAAACATTCAAAAATAAAATGCATCTATAGTCTTTAAATGCTATATCTTATTTATACCAAGGAAGCATTTATTAAGCATTTCCTATACCAAATAATTGATAATATTTGCTCTGGAAAATTTCCAAGACAAGATTATCTCCATCACACTATATAGGAAAGAGTTACCTGTTGTGTATACTTCTGTATTTCATCCAGAACGAATTCTACTTCTTTTGAAGTTGTTAATGAAGCAAGATTTCCACTAAGATTATAGCAATAAAGTTTTGCATTGTCATAGCTTTCTCTACTGGAATTGATTCTAAGACAAGCATCCCCAACGTGATTCCATCCTTCTCCACAAAGATGAGCTGGTAAAAATATAAATAATTTATATAAATATACATTTATCATTTTTTCAGATTGCAAAAATGCATGTGTGCTTTTTCATTTCAGAATTCTAAACAGAACTTCCATAATTGTTTAAATTACTTTTTAAAATAAAACATTTTAAGTATCTCAGTAATGTCACAAAGAAAATTTTTCTAATTCTTTGGTAGAGAATGAAAACAAAATATTAATGTTCTCTTCAATTTGTAAACAAAAGCTATAGCCCTATGACATCTGTGAAAATGTATCGATTACCAGGTTTTCTGTGTAAAATCTAGTGTATTTTCATATGGTATTTCAGTAAGCAAAATTACTACTGCATGTGTCCCAAGGTCCAGTTTACATAAGATCACTTTAATAGAAAAGCAATCTGTGTATAACAAAAAGTAATTTCAAAGTTATTCCTATAGGTGAGCTGATCCACCTTCCAATCTAATTTTTCTAACCCAGGTATACTGTTTTAATGTAAGGTAGGTTCTTTGATTCTTTAATTATTAGTATAGATAGAAGCATCTCATTTGACTTATGTTTAATAAGAAATATTATTTTTACATTTAATGTTTACTTTTACAAAAATTATTCAGGTCTTTCTAAAGTTTGAACACACTATTCAGTAATGGATTATTCATAGTGTCCAACTTGAACGGTTTTCTAGAGTGGCTAATAAAGGCATTTTAAAGCTATGCTGTAGTGTGCACTAATTAACAATGCAGTGTTTTATTAACATGCTGACCCATAAAGTAACCTGCATCTTAGTTCCTCCCTCACATTAAATATATAGTGCTACCTCCTGACCTATATTGAGAGCCTTAGATCTTTCGAACCGTAGTGATATTGTTCTAAAGCAGCAGTTTTGGTCTTTAATTCTTAAACATTATTGACAGCCTTATAAATCTTCACTGTATGCATGTTATATCTTACTGATTTTGGCCATATTAAAATTAAAACATCAGTTTTAATATCAATAGATATATCAGTAGATATATTAATCTACTTATTCTTTTTTTTTTTTTTTGACAGGCAGGGTGGACAGTGAGAGAGAGACAGAGAAAGGTCTTCCTTTTCCATTGGTTCACCCCCCAGTTGCCACTGCGGCCGGCACACTGCGGCTGGCGCACCACGCTGATCTGAAGCCAGGAGCCAGGTGCTTCTCCTGGTCTCCCATGGGGTGCAGGGCCCAAGCACTTGGGCCATCCTCCACTGCACTCCCGGGCCACAGCAGAAAGCTGGCCTGAAAGAGGGGCAACCGGGACAGAATCCGGTGCCCCGACCGGGACTAGAACCTGGGGTGCCAGCGCTGCAGGCAGAGGATTAGCCTATTTTGCCGGGACACCGGGCTCTACTTAATCTTTTTTTCTTAAACTTTTATTTAGTAAATATATATTTCCAAAGTACAGTTTATGGATTACAATGGCTTTTCCCCCCCATAATTTCCCTCCCACCTGCAACCCTCCCCTCTCCTGCTCCCTCTCCCATTCCATTCACATCAAGATTCATTTTCAATTCTCTTTATATACAGAAGATCGATTTAGTATATATAAAGATTTCAACAGTTTGCACCCACACAGAACATAAAGTGTAAAATATTGTTTGAGTACTAGTTATAGCATTAATTCACATTGGACAACACATTAAGCACAGAGATCCCACATAAGGAGTAAGTACACAGTGACTCCTGTTGTTGACTTAACAATTTGACACTCTTGTTTATGGCATCAGAAATCTCCCTAGGCTCTAGTCATGAGCTGCCAAGGCTATGGAAGCCTCTTGAGTTCGCTGACTTCGATCTTATTTAGACAAGGTCATAGTCAAAGTGGAAGTTCTCTCCTCCCTTCAGAGAAAGGTACCTCCTTCTTTGATGGCCCATTCTTTCTACTGGGATCTCACTCGCAGAGACCTTTCATTTAGGTTTGTTTTTTTGTTTGTTTGTTTGTTTTTTTGCCACAGAGTCTTGGCTTTCCATGCCTAAAATACTCTCATGGGCTCTTCAGCCAGATCCGAGTGCCTTAAGGGCTGATTCTCAGGCCAGAGTGCTGTTTAGGACATCCGCCATTCTACGAGTCTGCTGTGTATCCCACTTCCCATGTTGGATTGTTCTCTCCCTTTTTTATTCTATCGGTTAGTATTCGCAGACACTAGTCTTAGTCTTGTTTGTGTGATCCCTTTGACTCTTAGACCTATCAGTGTGATCAATTGTGAACTAAAATTGATCACTTGGACTAGTGAGATGGCTTTGGTACATGCAATCTTGATGGGATTGTATTGGAATCCCCTGGCACGTTTCTAACTCCACCATTTGGGGCAAGTCCGATTGAGCATGTCCCAAATTGTACATCTCCTCCCTCTCTTATTCCCACTCATATTTAACAGGGATCACTTTTCAGTTAAATTTCAACTCCTAAGAATAAAAGTGTGTTGATTACAGAGTTCAACCAATAGTATTAACTAGAACAAAAAAAAATACTAAAAGGGATAAAGTATTAAATTGTACATCAACATACTTATTCTTTAAAGTAACAATTTAAAATTCCATTACAAAAGCACTTTTCCAGCTGCTAGGATGTCTTGCACCTTTATGCTATATTAACAGGCCTGAGGGAGACATATTCCCACATTCCCTGCTCAAGAGAAAGCAGCTGACAGTTCCTAATAGGTGATTGCCATCAAAACATTAAGATGGATTAGTGAATGAACAGCAGGTGATAGAAACATTGGGGATAAAGCATATAGTGTGCATTATAATTACAGAATCTAGGCTGTGAATGCTGGCTGTCCTCATTATAATGTTTTTCATTTTTCTGTATCTTTGAAATTGTTCATAATATAATGTCAGGGGTAAATACTACAACTTAGCATAAATAGCATATTTTATTTTCAAAAACTTAGAGCCTCGGGGCCTGCGCTGTGGCATAGCAGGTAAAGGCACCACCTGCAGTGCCGGCATCCCATATGGGCACCGGTTCGAGTCCCGGCTACTCCACTTCCGATCCAGCTCTCTGCTGTGGACTGGGAAAGCAGTAGAAGATGGCCCAAGTCCTTGGGCCCTGCACCTCTGTGGAGACCTGGAAGCTCCTGGCTTCAGATCAGCTCAGTTCTGGCCATTGCAGTCATCTGGGGAGAGAACTAGCGGATGGAAGACCTCTCTCTCTCTCTCTCTCTCTCTCTCTCTATCTCTCTCTCTCTCTCTCTCTCTGGCTCTATCTCTCTGTAACTTTCTTTCAAATAAATAAAATAAATCTTAAAAAAAAACTTAGAGTCTCTAAATAAAAATTAAGTAGTAAGGCAGTGTTTTACATTTTTGCATATCTCTTTAATGCCTAGTTTAATATGACAATTGTATTCTCATATGTGCTTCTACATTCAATCTATTGGTATAACACATATCAGAGGTAGCCTCTGGAAAACTCCATGGTAAACTCATAACATAATGAGAGTTTAAAAAGCAAACAATATCTTAGTATTATTAGTTTTTACCTCATTGATACCCTGTAAGAGTCTTGTGATTCCTGTTCTTTGATAGCTATTCTTCTAAGGATTAAATGGATACCATGAATAACGTACAGTGTTTTAATATAGTAATCTTTCAGTAAACTGTAATTATCATTTAATAAAACTGTTTAGGATACATTTTGATGCCACATATGTAGCCATCTTCCTAGGTCCTCTGGAATCCAAGGCATCAAATCATTCTTCTTTACAGTATAAAATTTTGCTAAACTAGGAAGTTTTTTTTTTCACTTTACTAGATGAAGGACTTAAATTATTTCACCCTGTCTCATTTTTTTTCAATGACACCCAAAACAACTGATTGACAAATTACACAAATAAGAATAAATGCAGCCGGCTCCGCGGCTCACTAGGCTAATCCTCCGCCTTGCGGCGCCGGCACACCGGGTTCTAGTCCCGGTCGGTGCACTGGATTCTGTCTCGGTTGCCCCTCTTCCAGGCCAGCTCTCTGCTGTGGCCAGGGAGTGCAGTGGAGGATGGCCCAGGTGCTTGGGCCCTGCACCCCATGGGAGACCAGGAAAAAGCACCTGGCTCCTGGCTCCTGCCATCGGATCAGCGCGGTGCACCGGCCGCAGCGCGCCGGCCGCGGCGGCCATTGGAGGGTGAACCAACGGCAAAGGAAGACCTTTCTCTCTGTCTCTCTCTCTCACTCTCCACTCTGCCTGTCAAAAAAAAAAAAAAGAGAGAGAGAATAAATTCATAGGCCTTTGAGTGGTAAATTAAATTTTACCACTAAACCAAATATTTTGATATTTTAGACTTTTGAGGTATTGAACATCAACTCAAGTTAAAAGGAAAGTAGTTAGCAGTTTTTAATGTATTTAATGAGATGAATTCAATTGCCAAGTTTGTAAGAGATCAACATTAAAAAAAAAAAAAAAAAAGAAGGCAATTCACCAGCTTTCACAGAAAGTCAAACTGCTCTATAGATCAGACCCACTGTTCTGAGAATTCACTTCCTTGAGACAAGCTGAATGAAAATCAAACTACAGGGGCCGGCGCCATGGCTCACTTGCTTAATCCTCCACCTGCAGCACCAGCATCCCATATGGGCGCCCAGTTCTAGTCCCAGTTGCTCCTCTTCTAGTCCAGTTCTCTGCTGTGGCCCAGGAGGGCAGTGGAGGATGGCCCAAGTGCTTGGGCTCTGCACCTGCATGGGAGACCGGGAAGAAGCACCTGGCTCCTGGCCATTTTGGGGAGTGAACCAATGGAAGAAAGACCTTTCTCTCTCTCTGTCTACAACACTACCTGTTAAATAAATAAATTTTTTAAAAATTTTAAAAAGAAGAAAATCAAACTACATATACCACTTGTCTGCTTAGTAAATACAAATGCAGGAAAGTGAATTGGTGAATAATTTAATATTTTATAGTGTCTCCAGATAATAGCCTAGTCAAGTGGAGTTCTTAAGTCAAAACAAAGTTTCCTGGGGAATGAGTAGATAGATACTATCAAAGATAACTTCACTATCATTTACCCAAACTGAATTCCTTTCTTATGAAGCATTCTTACTTTAAACATATACATTGCCTCAGGCAAATTTTATTTTGGGTCAGGAAGTATTTTGTCTTTTTAAGTAGGCTCTTTTATTAATCATCACTACCTACTTGATGATTTTGTAGTTTAACTCTTAGAGATGAGTTTTACTGTCGTGATGTCATCTCATTGTTACTTCTCGACTTTGCATATTGAATTAATATTCTCTAATTTTCTCGGGCTGAACACCCACGCACATATCACTTTTATCAGTATATAAACAAAATTCAAAATCTGAATAAAAATTCCCAAACCTTCAAGGTATTTTTAAAGGCAGACTACTTTGTATTTTATTACATGAATTTGTAACAAAGATTCACTCTCACTTTTTTACTTTTTAATTTACATTTTTATCAGTACAAAGAGAACAATGTAGCTCAGTGATACAATTCTAAGATTTTTTTTTCATACAGAATCCTTTATTAAAAATATGAATATTGGGGCTGGCGCTGTGGCGCAGTAGGTCAACCCTCCACATGCAGTGCTGGCATCCCAGATGGGTGCCAGTTCTAGTCCCGGCTGCTCCTCTTCCAATCCAGCTCTCCGCCGTGGCCCGGAAAAGCAGCAGAAGATGGTCCAAGCCTGTCTCTACCTCTCACCCTCTCACAGTCACTAATTCTACTTCTTAAATAAATAATAAAATCTTAAAAAAATTTAAAATATGAATATTAATGCTAGGAAAAAAAAGAATGTCCTCATGGATTTGAAAACTGGGATTATGTTCCTTTTCCAAATTGTCACTAGTAACCTGTGGAACTTCTCTTGCTTAAGTCAGTTCCTTTCTTTCTTCTTCTTCTTCTTCTTTTTTTTTTTTTTTAACAGGCAGAATTACACAGAAAGGTCTTCCTTCCGTTGGTTCACCCCTAAAATGGCCACTACAGCTGGTGCGCTGCGCTGATCCGAAGCCAGGAGCCAGGTGCTTCTTCCTGGTCTCCCATGGGGTGCAGGGCCCAAGCACTTGGGCCATGCTCCACTGCCTTCCCGGGCCACAGCAGAGAGCTGGACTGGAAGAGGAGCAACCGTGACAGAATCCAGCGCCCCAACCAGGACTAGAACCCGGTGTGCCAGCTCTGCAGGCGGAGGATCAACCAAGTGAGCCACCGCGCTGGCCAAGTCAATTTCTTTCTCTACTTTAGTGGATGCAGGTCACAGTCCAGACTTGATCCTCAGGCCCTTGACTGTGGCTACCTCCTTGGTCATTCTAAAAGAATCCCAGACATCATGGCCCCACAGAGGATGGAACATTTCCGCAGTAATTTTGGATGCAAACTTGTTTTCTGTGTCTACCGGGTGGACATGGACATGGCCTTTAGCATCTTCTGCCCCTTGAGTGTCTTGCAGGCCATCATAATCATCCCTAGGGATTCCAGGTGGTCTGAGCTTAAAGTAGAAGTTCTCAAACACATGAGCATTTCCACTGTCTTCTGCTGGATCCTGTACTTGCTGATAACTATCATTTTGTTTGTGAACCTGACTACAAATGGAAAATCCCGAATATCACAAAGTGAAGAGACATTGGATTCTGTTCTCCAGTGCTTAAGAAAGTTACTCAGTCTCTGCAGCATTGATCTCTCTCTCTAACGTCCTGTTTGGGGCTCATGCTGTGGTCCAGTGGTTCCATGTTTTTCATCCAGTACAGACACAAACAGCAGGTCAACACATCCATAGGACACACATCTCCCCCACATCCTCCACTAAGTCCAGAGCTGCCCACAGCATCCTTGCCCTGGTGAGCATGTGAGTGTTTTGATGTTTTCTCCTTCATCAGTGAAGCGTGTCTGTCTGTTTTTCATACTCCCAGATCCTTGCTCTTCACTGACAGTGGCATAGTTGCTGCATGTTTACCAACTCCCTCTCTCGTGCTCTTGAGGGGTGAACACAGCGCATCTGCAGTCTCCTGTGCAAAATCTTACAAATAAAAGATTACTGGGTGATCAATTGGAGCTTATACTGGGAATGTCACGGTTTTTTGTTAGAAAATTCATTAAATAATCTTGTTCAAAAGTTAAGGTGAAAAAAACATGATCATGTTGACCGATGAAGAGATTTGGCAGTTGCCCGCGCGCGGGCACGGACGCCGGGCTTCTCACGTCCGGGGCGACTTCTCAGAGCCCATGGAGGAAAGAACGGAGGCCTGAGGGAGGCGGGGGAAGCGGCAAAGCCGCCCCAAGGCATGTCGGTGCCACCTCAGCTCTGCGCTCTGGGCCTCAGGGTCTGTGAGAAACTCCAATTCTAAGACTATAATGATACTTTTCTTCCCTTCCGCCAGCCCTCACCCCTTCTTCCCTCCCTCCTTCCTATCCTCCTTCCTTCCTTCTTTTTTTTATTCCTTTGAAAGACTCACTTTTTATTAAATTATTTGTTTTTATTGACAACATTTACTGTACATATTTTGGGGTACAATGTAATATTTTGATACATGCACACATTTTAATGATCAAATTAAGATATTTAGCATCCATTACTTCATATATTAAAGATTTCCTTGTAGTGTGAACATTCAAAAGTGAAAGACTCACTTTTAAACTAAATTTTCTGATGGAGCTTTCTAATAATTTCTGGAATTATATAGGTTAAGAAATTTTTCTATGGAAAAAAAATAAAATTTATTTGGATAGGGAGAGCCCCCAAAAATAAAATAGTCAGTCACAAGTTACAACTCTGACATGTAGAAGCCATACAGTCTTGAGCAGTTTACTGAGAATTTTAAATATAAAAAACAAAATGAAATTATTTTTTAAATGAGCGTTACTGGAGTTATGCAATTTAAAGTCTTATAAAAGTAGGAAATATTTTTATAAATATTACCATATAATTTCAAAAGCAGTCAGCAGAAAATATCCACTGAACTGTTAAAATAAGGGGCATTTAAAATACATCAAATATAACACAATGTTAATATTTTCTAAAACTGGATATTAAGAGTCATTATTATTTTCAACCTTTTTAAGATATAACTTTCAATCAATGATCAAAGCAATAGTATAGAAAACACAAGAAATCAAGTACATCTGAAAAGAATTATAAGCAAATGCAACATAACTATTATGTAGAAATAATGCTATTATTACTTCTAAATTATGGTTTGATACTTGCTCTTGTTTTAATTTTAGAAAATTTAACATTCTTACTAAAGGTACTTTACTACAATGATATTCATGTGTAAACTATAAAACTAATTGGCCAATTAGTTTAAAATCATTACCTGGTAGAGCCTGGCATTCCTGTTGCCGTTGATCCCATTGGCAGTTTAAGTTCAGTGAGCAGCTTTTACAGCTGGTAAGTTTGTTACAAATCTGCTCATTTCTCACATGACATTTGGTGTAGTTTTTGACAGACTAGAAAATTAAAAGATAAACTGTATTATTTTTCACCACTTTATAAGCAATAATTCTTCAACTTCCGAATATTTTTAAAATCCCTAGTTTTTTGTTGTTGTTGTTTTTTTTTTTTTTTTTTTTTGACAGGCAGAGTGTACAGTGAGAGAGAGAGACAGAGAAAGGTCTGCCTTTGCCGTTGGTTCACCCTCCAATGGCCGCCGCGGCTGGCGCGCAGCAGCCGGCACACCACGCTGATCCGATGGCAGGAGCCAGGTACTTCTCCTGGTCTCCCGTGGGGTGCAGGGCCCAAGCACTTGGGCCATCCTCCACTGCACTCCCTGACCACAGCAGAGAGCTGGCCTGGAAGAGGGGCAACCAGGAAAGAATCCGGTGCCCCGACCGGGACTAGAACCCGGTGTGCCAGCGCCGCAAGGCGGAGGATTAGCCTAGTGAGCTGCGGCACCAGCCTAAAATCCCTAGTTTTAAAACAGATTCTAATTCCAAATACAATTCTACTGAATCAAAATATACCTTATTTCATCAGTTTGTTAAATTAAATCAAATTTGGTCTAAAGCCTCTACACATAGTGAACTACAATAGACTTACAATGGAATCAAGCCACAACTGAAGTATTTGAAAGATAGCGGATTCTTAGCCGTTATAGCAGCCAAACTGCCAGTTGATCACACCATGCATAAATAAGGCAAATCATAAACTGTAGCCAATCAAGCTATTTGTCACTTATGTTTCCTCTGTATAAACAGAAAATATTTATAAAATTCTGTGCCTGACCACAAATTTTCTGTTAACTTCTACTGGTGCAGGGTGCTGCCTGATTCATGAATCATTCTTTGCTCAAGTAAACACTGCTAAACTTAAATTGTCTACAGTTTTTTTAACAAGCTTATTTTTCTCAGAATTAGAATGAGTGTTTACTGAAAAACATGTACAAATTACACAATCTGAAACAGAAATCACCAAACAAAAACCTTTCTAGTAAATCTGAAAACAGTCTTGGGATTCAATAAAGTCAATGTGCAAAGGCATTTTTCCTTAGTGACAAAATGAAAATATTCTAGTCACAGTGTCACTACATTGAAAATTTATGGGAATAAAGGAGAAATGAGTATCTAGTAAAAGCTAAAGAGATGCTTTATAAAAAATCTAGTACACTATTAAATGATAAATTACTGTCATGCAGTTCAAACTAACTTTACTTCCACAGACACTAAATAATTTTGGCTAATTCTCTTATATACTTTTGTCACATTTCCTTCACTAAGGTTACAAAGACCTTGAAAATGCTACATCTTTTCTATCTTACTACATAATGTATAATCATATTGCAACTAATTCTGGCACTGGCTGAAAGACTAAAGGTTAAAGGTCAAGAGAGAAAAAAGCCCTGAAGGAATTTTGGTAGTAGTGGTAGTTCCTTACATATACCCAGGTTCACATCATGATATTATTAATATCTATGACAAAATTTACCTCGTGAAAATAAAATACTAAAGCTTTTGACCTAGCTCTTCATGTGACTATCGATGGAAAAAAAATTTTAAAAAGTAACGCTGTACTCTGAGCCCCATTCCAATTTTTTGTTATGTGTATAAATTCTTCTCATGTAAAGGAGCTATTCCATTCTAAAAGCCTAAAAGTTACAATTAATTTATAATTACCTCACATATAAAAACTACTAAGGCAATTTTTATACTCTTAAATACTTGAAATGTCACCCACCAAATATTCATTTATAAAGTACTATACTATTCTTCATGAAATACTTCAGCATTAATTTCTCTAAATCAAATTATACTTACTAATAATTAACAGATATAAAGCACCCAGAAATGCTTACCATTATTCCTCAAAAAAGAAGAAAATACAGTTTCATATGCAATATACATTGTGACTATTATTCAACCACCACATATTCTTTGGAAATATATAAACTTCCTAATTGTTATTTTCTGTGATTTATATCTTTCTATTTACATACAGAATATAAATCTTGGCATTATTCCATATACTCACTAAAGTATAGTTCCAAATATCTGTCAGTTAACTGAAAAGAAATTTACTAGGGCTATTGGATAAATAAAGCAACATATAAAGCTGACAAGAGAATGGTTAAACATTGAAATATTAGAATAGTTTAATGTCAGCCTTCAGGATATCAATGGTAACATTAGAGTCCTTCCAAATAATTCTACTGCTTTTCATTCAGTACAATAGAGCCATTTATTGGTATTGAGCAAGTCTAATAGATGAAATGACACTTCAGTCATACAAAGGGCCAAGTTAATCAATGATGGAAGGCAGATGACTGATTCTGAAACACGGCTGGCATGTTGGGCTAATGCATCAGATGTATATTAGTAAACAGACTATCAAGAGTATCTATTAATCTATTCATTTTAATTCTTATATATTGAAGTGTAAATTTTAAATAAAAATCCTTGAGAAGCAGGTTATTTGACCTATTAGAACATAAAATATGCAACTTAAAGTAAATACAACTAAAAATGAAATAAGATATCAATACACATAATTTAAACTAAAATCACAAAGAATTTTCTACATTCATTAGCATTTGGTTTAGCTTAATCACCAGACATTCTGATAAACTGTTTAAAAGACACAGTACATCAAATTCTAAATTACAAGTGAGTACCATCTGCTCACTTATACTATTGTACTCAAAGCTTTCCTTGTTAACATATCATCAAAAACAAAACACAAAGCAAAAAGGATACTCTTTGTAATGAATACTTGATACAATTTACATAATGCAATTTATAAGATGTGTATTTTCATCTATATACGTGAATTTTCATATGTGTAAGTGTCTGCTATGGACAGAATGTGCCCACAACATTTCTATGTTGAAATCTAATCCCTAAAGACAATTCCTAAACACAACAAAAGCTAAAATAAAATCTCTTCCTAAATTTTAACTAAAATAATGTTCCCCATTTTTGTCCTGTATGGTTCATCTTATGTATTCAAATAACCAGGACACAAGGGTACCCAGCCATTTGGTGAAATAATATTTCTAAGTATGTGAGAATATTTCTCTTTGAGATCAGCAAATAAACAGAGTAAAGTAGAATGCTCTGGCCAGTGTGGGTGACTATCATCCTATCCCTTGAGGGCCTAAATAAAACAAAAGGTCCAAGGAAGGAAAAAAATATTCTTTTTTCCTGACTGCTGAGCTGAGGGGCATTGGGTTTTTGCCCTCGCCACCAGTGCTCCTGACTCAGGTCTCCAGACTCAGACTGGAATCTACTGGTTTTCCTGGGTCATCAAAGTGCAGACATGGAATTTCACAGTTCCATAACTGTGTAAGCCAATTCCTTTAATAAATCTCAGGATGGATAGATGGATACACAAACAATAGATAGATAGATAGATAGATAGATCTATTGATTCTGTTTCTCTGGAGAACCCTGACTCATACAGATTTGGGGATCAGAAATGGTTCTAGAAAAACAGAATTTCTGGGGCTAACCTGATTAGATTCAATTATGTTAATGACTAGCAGAAAGAAAGCATTGACAGTTCACAATGAGAAGGAAGTGCCTGTAAAAATCTTCTGCAAGGCATTCCAAGAGGAACACCTACTGAGACTTACCTGAGGAGTAGAAGATGAGTAATCGATTTTATCTATCAAGTTAATTTGACTTGAGTGATGTGTACAAAGGTCCTATTTGTCTTAACCATCTATAACAACCTTGAATAATCCTTTGCTTTGTTTTTTGTTTTGAAAGGCATGTGGTGGGAGGACAGAGAGAGAGAGAGAATCTTCCATCCACTCATTCACTCCTCAAATGCCTGCAACAGACAGGGCTGGGTGGGCCAGGTTGAAGCTAGCAGCCAAGAGCTCCAGCCGGATCTATCACGTGTATGGTGGGGACCCAAGTACTGTAGCCACCATCTTCAGTCTCACAGAAAGCCCCTTAGAAGAAAGCTGGTTTGTAAACAGAGGCAAGACTGGAGCCTAGGCATTGCACCACAACACTTGTCCTCTCTGTTTTTTTCTATACATTCCTCATCCTTTCCCAGAAATGCCTTCATTAAAATTAATCAGTTGCCACCTTTTCAGCAACTTCTTTTCAGACCCTTGCTGTCTCTAAAGCAATTTTTAGCCGATCGTATTACCTAAAGTACACCTTTTTCAGCCAAGACAATGTGTTTACAGTGTAAGACATAAATTCTGACAATACTTTGATCACTTTGGAACACCTTCCACTATTCATTGAAATTCATTGGACTTGTGTCTCCAGGGGTTAGGTCACTCAAATTCTGCCCTAAATAAATCTTTTTGCAGATCCTGTTTATTTCCATCAAGAACAGCATTAGCTATTTCTAAGCTGTTAACCTAGAAAACCTAAGGAATATGTGGGGAAATGGATAATAAGAATGGGGGATAATGGTGGAAATAACATAAAGTTGGGTAAAGCCAAATTTATTTAAATTGTCTCACAAAGCAGAAATTCTGCCAGTAGTGTTTTAGCTTGGAGGGTTCGAAAGGACTCCAGGTTGGCGCCGTGGCTCACTTGACTAAGCATCCACCTGCAGCTTCGGCACCCCGGGTTCTAGTCCCGGTTGGGCGCTGGATTCTGTACCAGTTGCTCCTCTTCCAGTCCAGCTCTCTGTTGTGGCCCAGGAAAGCAGTGGGGGATGGCCCAAGTGCTTGGGCCCTGCACCCGCATGGGAGACCAGGAGGAAGCACCTGGCTCCTGGCTTCGGATTGGCGCAGCACACCGGCCACAGGGCGCCGGCCGTAGTGGCCATTTGGGGGGTGAACCAACAGAAAAAGGAAGACCTTTCTCTCTGTCTCTCTCTCTCTCTGTCTAGCTCTGCCTGTCCAACAACAACAACAACAACAAAAAAAAAAAAAAAAAAAAAAAAAAAAAAAAAAAAAAGGACTCCACGAGTTTGGCTGGCTGAAATGTAGATCAAAAGGTGGCCTACACTGAGTAAATGAAAATGCCAGACCCACACCAGTTGAATA